AAACAAAACTTTTATACTCCAACTTTGTTTTACTTTTTACATCCTCTTCTCACCACACAAAATAAGATTCAGCAGATCTATAAGTACCCTTGAATAGAATAATTACATCTTCAATAGAAAAATTCCGAGTCAATTTCTCCAAGTTAGGTCCGGTCCGACACATATCTGGTGTTCGCACCCGAATTGGATCATGTCAACACGGGTATCAAGTAGTAAAATGGCACAACACTTTTATGGAAGTCATGTGGTCTGTGCGACTGGAGTGGAATATAAGGGTCTCTTAAGAAGTCTCTTTGTCTTCTCACTTGTTAATTTTTATGGGACAAAGTCACTTATCAAGATTCGTGATGGGCTATAAGTTGGTTTGGCTTTTATAGTTGATTGGGGGAGTTAAAAATTTTTTGGGGAGTTCAAAAAATTTCAGTTAATATTTTAGTTGATTAATAAGCATTTGACATAGATTAAAATTTTATTTAATAATTATTACGAAACTAGTTTCAGTACGCTTGAACTTCCAATTTTTTTTTCCCTTCTTAGCCTTATACTTGATGGTTCTTTGAGGATAATGCTGTTTGGGTGAGTTGTTCCTTGATGCTGGAAAGAGGGCCCCACCTGCCAATGCGTGATGTGCTCATTAAGATTGTAGTATGTTAAATGTTATACTATATGGTTTCTTATGTCGAATCATATAAAAATGTAATATATTCATTTGAACTCCCATTTCACTAGAAGTCAGATCCATTTCCTATTATGTTTCTTCTCATACATTGTTTTCAAGTCAAGAATTTCAGTCCTCAGTGGATTTCTGTCTCTCATCCATTGTCCTTGGTAGTGGCCAGGTTTTCCTTTCTTTTTTCCCCTGCAATCTTTTTCCCTTTTATGTTGGGGTTTTGAAAGGGTGTCTCCCTCACATAGAAATTATATATTGGAGGTGATTTGAATGGGCATGTTGGGGTAAGTCGAGATGGATTTGAGAGTGTTCATGGAGGCTTTGGGTATGGGCAGAGGGACCTAGGTGTTGAGGCTATTATGGATTTTGCCCAATCATATGATTTAATTTGGGCTAATACTTGGCTTAAGAATCGGGATTCCCACTTGATAACTTTCCGAAGCGGAGCAAATGCAACTCAAATAGACTTCTTGCTCACAAGGAGCATAGATAGACAAAGTTGCGTAAACTGCAAGGTCATTCCAGGTAGGGGTGGCAATTCGGGTCAGCATGTCGGGTTCGGGTTAGATTTCGGGTCGTTTTCGGGTTATGCTTAGAAACTATCAAAAAATGTGTAAAACTTAATATTATTACGAAAATATGAAACTTGGGTCAAATCGAGTCGAATTCGGGTTGTTCGAGTGTGGTCACCTAGCACCGACTTTTGGTTATGAGTATACGTTTGAAAGAGAAGGTGAAGAAAAAAGGAGACAAGGGGGAGCCAAGGATAAGATGGTGGACTCTAAGGGACGTAAATGACTTGGTTGGAAGGAGTTAGGAAGGATATGAAGCATATGGATTTGCATGAGAGTGAGATATTTGATCGTAAGGGATGGAGGAGGAAGATTTTTGTGGATGACTATACGGGATAATCGCTTTTGGTTCATGTAGCCGACCCCACTTATGGGATTAAGGCTTTGATTGATTGATTGTTAGGGTTTGAAAGATTGTATTAATGCCTAGGATAGGGTTGTGGGTCAGCATGGACTGTGGCCTTTCTGTTAACTTGAACAACCCCCCCCCCCCTTGCATTTTAGAGTGTATATCAGCCCTTTGGTGAAAGTATTTTGATTGACTAAAATACGAAGGCAATGATGGTGGGGTAGAATTTGAGAGGATTGGTCAGCCAACTAGTAAAGTAAATGAGGGTAGTGGTTTACAAGGGAAATCACGGATGCACTGCCTTTGGGTTCGGGTTGAACTGATTTGGGATGGGTATCTGCCACCCCAGCCTTGTTTTATCTAAAGTAACAGACTGGGTCTTTGATTTATGTTGCCTGGCATCTGGGACATTTAAGGTTCTGCTCCCTAGCCTGAGCCTGGTCCTATTTCAGAGGCAGCCCCCTTCATACTGCTACAAATCTACAATGGATGCATAGAGTTTTATTTTATTTATTTATTTTTGAGGAAAACATGAGCTAAAAAATATTATTGCAAATCAAGATCCGCCAATGTTTGAATGCCTTGGGGGAATAAGTTCATACAAGTTAACTCGGAGTTACTGTTTGTATCCCACCTCGAAACAAGGTGAGCAACGGTGTTTCCGGCTCTCTTAACATGAGTAAAATAAATAAAATCAAACAAGCTAGATAACCATCTAATATCATCGTACAGTAAGAAAATAGGAGCCAGACCCTTTGAGGAGCTTTTGACAGCCTGCACAACACCCTTAGCATCACTCTCTACCCATATATTCTTAAAACCAAACATGTGCACGATTTGCAGACCAAATCACATAGCTGCTGCCTCACCCACAGCAGGTGATCCCTCGCTTTGCACCTTAGAAATTATGCATGAGAAACAGAAGAAAATCTTGGCTTGGCTTTGCCTAAGGTTCAAGTTCGCTTACACTGTGTTTGGGATGTGAATAGCTGGGAGCTGGATTTTTTTCAATAATTCCTTAGAATACAAGCCAAGAAGCTTTTATGAAAGTCCATGGCGTCTTCCTCTTCTTCTTCACCGATAGCTGAGTCAAATTTCAATAATTTATCGATGATTCTTGGTAAGTAATAAATCAAGTGAATAGAACCCACCCTAAGTACCTAGATAGTGGCATCGGAAAGGAGAAAGAGGTTTGTTGGTTACTAACTGGTCATATAATATCACACATTATTTTAATTCTTGAGAATAGGGCTTTACTAGCAGCACACTATAAGATATAGCATCCATTATTAGTTAGAACGGTTGTGTGTTTGGCACTAGTATATCATTTTGTTTTCAACAACTTTACTAAACCCTTTTCGAGTCAATTTAGGCGCAAAAAAAAAAAAAAGGAGTCTAGATGATGGCAAGGGTAAATTTGATGCTTGAATAAAATAATGAATGGTTGGCTCCAATGTTCCCACAAGGAACCCACATGTCTGATGGTATTTAATTGACTGCAGCTCTATATTAAGTATTTTTCAAGTGTCCTCGACTATTTTGCTGTAAAATTTTCCATGATTTTGGCATTAAATGAATTGTCGAAGTGTTCAATTTGTCAGTGTGTCCAATGTGTACTTGAGGTGAAATGAAGAGTCTGAGTAATGTGGTCTTATTGTACTCTATCTCTCTGGAATGCTCAATGATTCCCTAATCCATAAGTTTTGTGTCTTGCATTGTTGCTTCTCTGGTCTCTGTTTCACTTCCTTTCATTATTGCCTTTAATTTGAAAACTGGAGATGCAAGTATTAAGGATAACCCTCCATATGCTTCCTCCAACCTTTCATACATTTACTCTTGCTCTCTTTATCTTTAAAAAATAATATTATTAGAAAAAAAAAATCAATTTAAATTAGTAAACATAAGCTTTAATCTGTAAAAATGAGTTTTAATTGGAAATTTTTAGTTTTAATAAGTTTTTGTGCTCCCATACTAGTAAAATTTTCATCTGTGCTCATTATTTATAGTAGATCCTCGGCCCAAATAAACCTTTATTAAAATTGTTTGAGTGAAGTGGCTGACTTTTTGTTTGTAAATGTCCTTTGCTCAGGGCGCTCACTGCTTTATTTAATGCTGTTTATATGTACTGCATATATAATTTTTTTTTTACTCTCTGTCCTCGAACAATATGCCTATCGAAATTCTTGTTTGACAAGTACTCTGCTTTAATAATTTTATGTTCGTATTCTTGTATCTTCGTGAGTGAACATAGTGTGTTGGGCTTAAAGTGCAGCCCCTCTTTTGACTGTTGAGATATTCTCTGCAGCCTTGACTAAAATATCTGGTGATTTGTTGAGCATCCACCAAGACCTCCTATTACAACACTTGCTCTAGAAGGAACCTTTGGGATGTGGTGGGGAATAGCAACTATGAGATAGTTATTGCTAAAACTTGTAGAAGAGGTTATTGCTGACATTTTGCAGTAGCCGGGAAGTTTGTTAGAGGCAAATTGGGCTGTAAGTCAGGGTGAGTAGCGTATGTAATGAAAATGGGGAAAAGACTTGTAGGGAGTTCTTAGCACTATTTTTGGAATTATTGGAATTCTGTTTTAGTTGAGGAAATGACCTGAATCTTAGCACTATTTTTGGGGGTGGGGGACCAAAACTCTAAAAAATTTCCTATCCTTGCAGAGCAGTTTGTTGAGTGCCCATCGGCTTTGCTGATGCTATATGTTTATTTATTGCCGTTGTTACTTCCTTTGAGTGTGACCTTGTTGATGTCTAGTAAATGATGATAAGGAGTTTAGTGTTCCTTGTTTACATCTTTGATACTATTATCTTTTTCTTCCATGCAGAAAAGAAAATTGACGAGTCTGAAAGAAAGAGCATCTGTTCATGTTCAATATTGTGAGAATTTGTGTTGTGGCCAGATTTTAGGTCCGTGTGTTGTGTGCATGTTGCTGTGTAATCTCCCAGGAGAAACTATTACTATGCTTGAAATCCCTATTATTCTAAATGCTGAGGAGATTTCTGCTCTACCGCATAAATTTGCTAGGAAGCATGTATCTTGCAATGCAGGCTGTCCTTGATGTATTCTCTATTGAACTTAGGGGAATGAACACCCGTGTATGAATATGTATCTAGTGCACTCTGGAGTCTGGTCCTTCGATTTTATAAGTTCTAAATTTGCTGAAGTAATTTATTTGGCAATGAAGATGGTCATCGATATAATGTTATAGTTGTAATGTATAGCAAGATGGAAAGAAAACTACTGTTGATTTGGTTATGATTGTGATCTGAAAGAAATTTCTCACGGACAGCTATTTCTGTTCATTCAATTTTCCATTTGTTACATTTTAGATCAGTCCATCTAGTTTGCCTTTGCTGCTTTTAACTATGGTTAGAGTACGAAAGCCTAGGTCAGACACTAGCCAGTTCAGACTCGCTTGGCAATGTGGCATTAAGCCATTAAGGGCTATTAGCCTATTACTATTAGTACAGCCAAAAACCCCTTGGCCAGTCCTGCTCAGGTACAGCTTAGCCAGTGCACCACAGTGGACTACCCCGGCACAGGCTATTCCCCTCTGCCCTTAGTCGCGTAGTAGCATATCGAAAGGCTGTGACAAAAGCATGATATCAATAAATAGGGAGAGTTTATAGGTAAGTGTAGTCCCAAAATCATAAACACTATCATGGAGAGGACCGTTATACCAAGAAGGCCCTATAAATGTATTGGGTTAACACTCCATGACTACCATAACTTTTGAGCTTTGAAAAAGACATTCACGAGTCACATGCCTTTGTTTTCAGTGAAAAGGATAAAATTCTATAAAAACCTCATTTTTTTTGGGTTGTCTTCTGTAATTTCAGACCCTTCTCCACTTGTTTTCTCTCTCTCTATACCCCTCCATTATAAGGGACAGTACTTTCTAACACCCTTCTGTTTTCTTCCCATTTATATAACCTATAGTTTATATGTAAAAAAAATTTCATGTTTTTCCTCTGATTTTTCTCATAATTTTTGTTCTAATGGAGAAACCTAGCAGCATTCTATGTCTTCTTATCTTGTTCCTTGCATTTTCTGTCTCGCATCAGTCTCACGGCGGTCACAAGTCTCACCACCCTGCAGCTAAACCCAGTTCTCAGATCACTGTCATGGGTACTGTTTACTGTGACATTTGCTCAAATAACTCCTTTTCTAGGCACAGCTACTTTCTAGCAGGTAAATTACTAAAACTATAAGTTTCGATTTTTTTGTTGTCAGTTTTCAAAATTGAAATTATTGTTGGAAATGCGACTAAAGTTAAGTACATTATGCAGCCTATCTTTAAAACACGACTTAAAAAAAACTGACAATGATACCGAACAAGCTACTAACTACTTGTTTGTGAAATCCGAAGTGAGATTGACTTGATTTTTCTGTTTTGGGGTCCGGGCGGGTTGTTACATAAAAAAAAAAAAAAAAAAAAAAAATAACATAGGAGTGGAAGTGAAAGTAGATTGCAAGTTCAAGGCAACAGCACCAAGAACATCTGAAGAAATAACATTCTCAGTGAATCGAACGACAAACGAATATGGGTGGTACAAACTCGAAATACCTTCAGTAGATGGGATCGAATGTGCACGAGGAGCAGCCGTCGAAACGATATGCAGGGCGAGTTTAATTGGGAGTTATACTTCAAAATGCAATGTGCCTGGACATCAGACTACCACTGATGTTGTGTATTTTAAGTCTAGCCAACAGCATATCTGCATTTATGGGTTAAGTGCGTTGAACTTTAGACCTTCTAGCAAGAACAAGGCTTTGTGTGGAAATTAGCAAGCCTTTTCTTCCCCAAATCAAACTTTAATTATGTTTTTCATTTTCTAATTTTTGTTTACTATATATATTAATAAAAGTAAATTATATATATTTATATGCAATAGAGTTTTTATTTTTATATTTCGGTGCTGGTGATTTTGGATTAAGTACAAAGATTAATAGTTACTCTGTTCAATATTGCATATAAAGTAGGTCATAATTCTATTATAGACCGTCTAAGCATAAATAAATCACTTTCTCGATTTATTTGTTGAACTTTAAACTATCATTATTGCCCTTTACTGTATAATCGTTGTCTTTTTTTTATTGAGAGATTACCTATATGGTGAACAAGTAAAAGGTTAATTCTTGAAAGTGACTCCTATTTATTGCGGTCTATTATTTAGAAACCGAGGAAATACTATTTGAGGGCTCTAATGACATTGGATGCCTAGCTTTTTGCCGGGGTCTATTATTTAGCCGCCTGAAGAATTATTGAAAAATTGTATAGTATAGAATGTCTGTTGGAGGGCCACATAATTGCAACATGTAAATAATGCATGGTGGTGATAATTCTATCAAAAATCTGTTTAATAATTCACATCCCCTGCCTCCAAAAAACATAAGAGCAGAATTGAACTTACCAATCAAATTATGTCTTTGCATTCTGTTCTTATTATTTTCTATGGACTCATATGAGGGCAATATGACTATTATATCTACTGTGGAAATCGTAGATATCACTAAAGGTATCAATTTGGGTCCTTGGATCGGTTTTAGACAGTTTCATGGTTGGATCAGAAACAAAGAACTCTAGATTTTAGCGTAAGAGGGTCTTGCATACTCGTGTTGTCTACAATTTGGCTAGTAATTTTAGCTATTCCAAATTAGTAGCTCATATTTTATTATATCTACACAATATAATAGAAAGTGTGAAGTTTCATTTTAGGACGGTTTGAAACTTTGAATATATCTATTGAACATGGGAAATGATTGACTTTTGGAAAGCGAGAAGTAGTCCATGCACAAGTGAAGATGACGGATTTCATCTGTCATATTCAGGAAAACAAATTTTATGGATGTTGCAAATATTTCTCATGATTTTAATTGACATTTAGTTGTTGGAAGTTCATATGAAGTTCAAAGAAAATCCACTACAAAAGAGTGAGAAAAAGAAAGGAGAAAACCTTTGTCCCACATGGAATAATGAATAACAATGTCCTTATTTGTTTCTGTATGGGGAGGGCTCAAGGCGTTAGTTGTGGGTCTGTATTCATTTAAAAGGGCCAATCTTTTTTATGATCTAGCATTCTAGCAATATTATTTAGATGTCGTTTCAATTCTACTGCACCGAAGTACTTGGAAATCGTCTTTTAGGACAATGGTTCTTCCACGTTGAGCCAAAATTCAACTCTCTTTATTTGTCACATTTGAAATAGGTGCATTTAATTGATAAACATCTACTCCTCTTGACCTAATTATGATCAGTATAGAGCCCATTATATTAATTTTTAAGGCCCAATCTTTTTAATGATCTAGCAATATTATTCAGATGTCATTTTGGTTCTATTGCACCAAGGTAGCTACTGTAAAAATGTCTTTTAGGATAGTGTTTTTGCCACGTTGAGACGAGATTGGACTCTTTTTGTTCGTCACATCTAAATAGGTGCTTTTAATCGTTTAATTTCGACTACATCCACTCCCCTTGACCCAACATCATCTGTAAAGACTTCATCTCGATCTACACCTAAATACACATCATTAAACATGTTTATTTATAAAGTTTTGCATCACTTGGAATTCAAGAATGAGTCTTAATCAGCAAATTTATATCATATAACATGGCAAACCTGCTCCAACTATGAAAATTAGTACACTAATTACAAAAATAAATCACATCATACCAATTTCAGCACTAAACATTTTGACAAAAACATAAAATGACAATAACTTTATTTCCAACTTGTTGGTCATCACTCATCAACTTTTTTCCATGAAAAATAAAATGACCTAAAATTTCAATATTTAACAGAGGACAAACAATATCATACTACTAGTACTGGACAAACAATATAAATACTATCAGTAAAATGACAATAAACTGATGATCAACAGATCAACTTTTATAATGAAAATTGTAACAGATATATAATTTCCCGAATATATGTATATAATTCCTCTGAATTTAGCTTTAATCAGCCTCCTGCAGCTGGTCAGCGAAGCGTTTCATGGCCGAAGCAGGCAATCCCAATAGCACATTGATAGATTTTCTCTCATTTCCATGAGACAGAAACAGAATAACCTCCTTCTCAGGCAGTGCTACAGGTCCTGATATAACTGGCTCACCCCACCCGAAATCTGTGGTATGAAATGACAGTCTAGACCAAGTAGTGATCAAAAGAGTAGAGCTCAAAGAAGGCCTTGCTCTGGTTGTTTCGAAGTAATCGATTGCTGATCTCATATAGTCATCAGTAACCATTTTGATGGCCTCTTGTACTTGGCTTACGCCGTAAGACAGATTATTGTCTATCAGTTCTCCTGCAGGGCAGATAGAGTTTGTAAGGACAATTCCATTTCCAAAGTACCCTTTTGGTAGAGGCGGATTAAACTTTGATCTGCCATCAACCGCGAAAAGTAGCTTAGTCTTTTGATCAGGCTCCATCTGAAGTGCCTTGCTTCTAGCCCTCCAAACAAATACTGATAGTGCTTCAAAAGTGGTGCATTTCTTTAAGGTTCCGTCTTCCATTGCCTTCGCCTTAAGCTTTTCTAGGTGCTTTGGTTCGAAACAGAATGACCGGTATTGCATTTCCTCATTGTACAAGTTACTGGTGCCAGAGATGTCCTCTATCTCCTCGAATTCTCGGTGCTTGAACTCAACCTTAGGGGGGTCTCGCGAGTTTAGGATTGCCCTGTCTAGGAAGGGTGTTATGTTAAGGGATAGTCCCCGGGCTGTTTCGCCCCACGAGTTGACGAATTCCATGGCTGCTATACCATCAAACATACAATGGTTCATGCATAGGCCTAGTGCAAACCCTCCACACTTGAACTTTGTCACCTGTTCATTCATTCATCAACAATAAGAATTTGTCAATTGTACTAATATATTATCTTAGTAGGATTATCTTGTACAGTTCCTTATGACGATTCATGTTAGTCAACTCCAAATAATTTTGTCCCACCGAAAATTCGATTTTGTCTTGTTTAAAATGAATACCCCTAAAGGTTGTATTATTACAAAATAATCAAAATGTTGTATTATTAAAAAAGAATTTTGACAATTTTTTCAATTTGAAAAGAAAGGTGTAAATTAACCAAGTCGCATCTTTTGCTAGATGCCAAAAAAAATCGCAGTACGTGGGAAATACATTTTTTTTTTTTTTTTATTTAATGTAGTCTACAATTAAATGATGGTGGCCGGGTCTTCCAAACAAAATTGAGATCCTTACTAGGTTCCAAAGGCTTGAATATCGGTGGTCCTAGCTCGGAAAATGTATATCTACATATTATAAATTTCCATGAAATACTTTCTTCTTCTTCTTCTTTTTTTTTTTTTTTTTTTAATCTAGTCTACAATTATATCCACGTTTTATTTTCAAATTTTTATGTTTATCTGCTACTTAATATACTGCTTAGACATTATTAAATAAAAAAAAAATGAAGTAAATATAAATGTGAAAAATGAGCTAGGTAAATTTTTTTAAAAAGGAAGTAAACAAACCTGAGTAACAAGAGGAGGAATTTCAAGTATATTTTTTGCACCAGGAATATCATAAACCAATTTTCCAAGAGTAATAGGGTCAGGCTTAGTAGAGTCACCAATTTTATCCATGTTACAATCGGCCTCGGCCTCCACGAAAACCGCGCCTTGGGTGCCGTCGTTGGTGCAATCTATGATGAGCTTCCCTTGAGGGCTAATGGTTAGCCGTCCAGCCAAAGGGTAGAAGTGCACCAACACCTTAGAAAGAGCCTCCTTAAGCACTTCTCCTGCTAACTCATTTCCCTTTTCCTCTGACTTAAAGCAATATATTGTACGTACAATTACCGCGATATTTTGGTCTAAATTTGATAGGAAGTATAAACCCTTAGGAGTTTCTTCTGCTGTTTGTACCAATGTTGGTTCTCCTAGTCGTTTCACTTTGAGATCGAATGTGTGTCCGTTGTTGTAGAATTTTGTCACCCCGTTTTCTCCGTTTTCATTAACCTACATCAACCACAAACAAAAACAAAAAAAATGTTATTTTTTGTTACAAATGATTTATAACTACTTGAATTTCTCCGGACCATCCTGTCTAGGCTTAGTTGTTACACTGCTAGTTCAAATTATAGTATCAGCGTAACTAATAAATCTAGAATATATGCGAGGAAAAAGAAGAAGAGAAAGATAGAGAGCGAGATTTATTGGTAATGCATGACTAACCATGTTGATAATTGGCTTTTGCTAGAGTAAGAAATAAAGGTGAAGAGAATATGTGTGAGAAAGAGTAAAATGTGGGTAAGTTGAGGTTTCAAAAAAGCATGGGTGATTGCAATATATAAGAAGAAGGGCAAAATAATGGAGCAGCTGGATTGGATGTTTAATTAAGCTTCTTTAATAAGAGTGAGAAATAGGAAAATTGGCTCAAATCTCTTATATAAGTTTTTCTTCCCGACAAAAAAAAAAGGGGTTTTTCTTAATTGTGAGTATTTAATTAAATTTAATTTTAATTTATTTTCCTTATATATCTTGGAAATTAGTATGTGAATATTATTTGGGTATGGGTGAGGTTGGTCACTAGCCTTGATAATAAAAATAAAACTGATGACAAGTATTAGATGTTAGTTTGTGATTTTAGTTATCTTGGTTTGGTAGGGTTGGCATTCTAATCTTGGTTTTTTTTATGAATAATATGAAAGTAGTTTGTTTTCTTGTTATAGTTAAACTATTTTTAATTTTCTTTTATTAGTTGGAAAAGTTGACCAACACATTGTTATGACCGCTTGTGTACTCCAGTAAGTTATACTATTGTTAATTTGCTATGTGCTTACGTACCGATCACAAGCTTATGTTCGAGTCTCATCTTCAACTTATGCTTAGGAATGAGGATTTCCTTATCTTTTCTCTAGAGTGTTAATTAATTATTTTAATAAGATCCAAGTCGTTACAAAAGAAAAAATTATGTGCTTTGAATTGGCTATCCTAAATTTTACTGCATATATCCCAAAAAAGATGGGGGGTGGGGGAGGGGTAACATTAATACAAATGCATAGGTTAAAAGGTTGGTTGTAAC